GTCCCAAAGCTATTTTGCACGAAAACACCGCGAAGGCATAGAAATCTTGAAACACCCTGACAATCTGAATCGCGACAAAGGCTATCAGGTGAACCCGATATGGCACACCGCCCTCCCGGTTTTTTAAAAAACCGTCAGCCGGGATTGGCTGACCCCCCTCCCTTCCTCCCCAGCGAGTATAAAAGGACCAGTGCAACGCGAGGGAGCTCAGTCTCACAGAGACTCCCAGCCTGAAAGGACCAGCGCAACGCGAGGGAGCTCAGTCTCACAGAGACTCCCAGCCCTGATGAAGCAGACTGCAACGCCTGCGAAACGTCGGCACCACACTGCAAACAGACGCGGCAACCATCCGGAAGCCATGACTAAAGAAGACAACAGCCGCGAAAGCCTGAAAACCAATGTAGTCTTATTGTATGTGATGTATGTGATATGATATGATGTATGTATGAGTAATATATGTCATGTATGAAAAAAAGATTCTTGGTGGGAATATCTTACCTGTGTCGATCGAGACGACGATGCGGTGTCAGTGGCAGTGGTGGTGGCGGTGGTGGTGGCGGTGGCAGTGGCAGTGGTGGTGGCAGTGGTGGTGGCGGTGGCAGTGGCAGTGGTGGTGGCGGCGGCGGAAGTGGAAACAGAGGCGGCGGTAGATTGCAACTGTTCTGGAATCTACAAATAAGAATACATAACTTATGTACAGTAAGTACTTATATGTATTATACCATGTATTTTTTACTATTTTACTACTATTGCTTTCAAACTGTAGCTGTTGCTGCTCCGTCTCCTCCTGCTGCTGCTCCTCCACCTGCTGCTGCTGCTCCATCTCCTCCTCCTCCGCCTCCTCCTGTGGCTGCTCCTCCGCCTGCTGCTGCTGCTCCATCTCCTCCTCCTCCACCTCTTCCTGTTGCTGTTGCAGCTCCTCCTCATTTGTCGGCGTGGCGACCGGTACATCAGCCGCGCCTACGCTCGCGTCGTCGTTGTCTCGCTGCAACATAAAAATGTATATACAGAAAATGTAAATAAAGTATGTAGAAATTACCGACGCTATAAGTTTTTAAGTAGGAGTAAATTTTGTACTTGCAGTTCGACCTCTTTTACTGTTGTAAAATTTCGACTCGGGTACGTACCTCCATATCGCGGTCGCTCCGTCGTCGTACTGAATGACTTGTCATATTAAAGACGTTTATTAAATTTTCGTAATATTCAAGTCACTTTACGGTCGTACATTTTGTTGCAGTAAACATCAAGTAATATTTACGAATCACGAATAGTTTAATTTCCTATAGCTCGACAATGCGAATGTAATATAACGAGCATTGCATAGACATTTAGGGTGTAAACGTTATTCTGTTATTACTTGCTGTTTACTGCCGCACAACTCGTCACTTACCTCGCTTGCTCGATTTGCGCCCATGTTCCACCTTCTTCATCAATGATTTAATCCGCTTCATGACCTCGTTGTCATCTCGTTTGTCTGCGTATAAAGAAATGATTATTTTCTTGGAAGAACCATGTAGAAGATACGAGTGTAGTGTAAGAGATGCGGCAACAGCGACTCAAACTATAATCTTTCGAATCTATTTTATATTATGTATTAATCGTAAGTGTATTCTTTAGAACAATATCGCATCAGGATATATCATTGTAATAATTGAGTGCTGGTTCCTGTCTGGAAGAAGGTACTGTTGCGAAACAACTACATTAATGATTTAACAAATAGGTGCTCTCGGTGGGCTGTTTTGACGTCACCATGATGCATAGAGAACGATCCAAAAATGATGTCATCTTGATGTTTTCACGACTAATATGTTCTACTTGGGAATGTTATTGATATTTATAATGACATACCTGTCGATTTACGGGCGGCCTTTTGTAAATTTTTCCACAGATTTTTCAGGCTCTCGACGTTCCTATGTATACCGGACGCCTGTGAATCGTTATTGAACGTACGTTCGATCTTCCTCCACGCCTTATCTCTTCCTCTCGTGTCCATGTATGGACTCGGGCGAAGCGCCTTGCTACCTTTAAGAAGGACGAGGAACCGCAGCTTCTCGTCGTAAGAAAAATTTTGCTGGCGAGACATTGCGATATCTGAAAAAAAATCACGTAGCGTTGATACAATATACCGCGAGCAATAGGAACAATTTTCCAGATTGCCGATATCAAACGTACCTTTCTTTCTGGAACAAGTGCGTCTTCTGGAACAGTTTTACGTCGTCCGTCTCCTTGCGGTGTCGAGATACGTATGCGAGACACGAGTTACGACCGGTGTAGAGATGCTCGAGTAAGAGATGCACCTGCGCGCCAACGCGCCTGCGCGGCAACAAGTCTGCGTGCCAACGACCCTGCGCGCTAACGAACCAATGATTGCGCATCTCTATTAAGATATTCGAGAGGAAATATTTGCGGCTGTATCGCAAGTATTTCGTTTTGAAAACTCGTGTCAACGTCAATTACACGTATGCTACAGACATATATTTTACCGCTCCTTTGAATTGTAAAAATTTAGTCTACTCGCTACTCGAAATGTTTTATTGGCTGTAGTACTCGCAGTTGAATGCGCATCGAGAACATGTAACTTTTGTGTATGTAGCCAGTTAAATTATAATATATAAAGAAGGGAATTGACTGACGATAACATTTCCACTTACGGGGATTAACTTGTGTTATATAAGACTGGTATGTAACTGGCGCACAGGATATAAGTTGGAAAGGCATATATGAATTCTCTCCATCGTTGATTCAACTGGCTACTTGTACCTTAAATCTCTAATTGATTTTATATCTCTAAGGACCTATGTTAACAATCGTAGCATGTAATTTTTAACTCGCTGAATAATACTATATCTGTAGTATCGTATTATACGCCACGCTACTTGAATTATCGTATTACTCGCTGTAGGAAACATATACGAGTATTTCGTCGCTCTTACTCGTGACATTGTAGCTCGTTCGCTGGCCATAGATACGGTACAGGCGCACGCGTGCGCGGTGACTAAAGAGGCGGCTGACTAAAGAGGCGGTCACATGGAAACGCCTATGAGAAAAGATGGAATGCTAATGCTATTGTACGCACTCGCAATCAAGTTTTTACGCAACAAATACGTATTCTGTACTCAAACTGTACACCGTATTGTGTCTATTCGACAGCAAAATCCATCGAGTGTGTAACATATTGTATTCAAAGCATACACTGTATTATTTGCTTTACAGAAACATGTATCAAGTATTAAACATTTTCATACTGTATTCTCCTCTTTACACCAAAATCCATCTAGTATCTGTAGCACCACTTGCTTTATTTCTCACAAAAATACAGAGAGCCTCCTTCCTTAGGCTGAAATCACATGATGCGGAATAAGGCTGATTGCCTGTTTCCATAACGCACTCTCTATTCCGTACTCCTATTCCGGTTCATGTAATTTCAGCCTTACGTCTGTCTTGTAACCTTGCGCGCTCGCTCTCTGACCGCATTACATTCGTCCGCGCAGGGCTCCGCGCGTGATAAGTAGGGCCCCGCGCGCTATATATCTAACATTTATATTCTAATCATACACTGAATTATCTGCTTTACAGAAACATGTATCGAGTATTAAACATTTCTTCTCTAAATCATACTGTATTCACTACCTAGTATCAAACATTTATATTCTAATCATATCAGTGAATTATCTGCTTTACAGAAAGATGTATAGAGTATTAAACGTTTCTTCTCTAAATCATACTAGTATGTAACATTAATATTCTAATATTACACTGAATTATCTGCTTTACAGAAAGATGTATAGAGTATTAAACGTTTCTTCTCTAAATCATACTGTATTCACTATCTAGTATCAAACATTTGCATTCTAATTATATCAGTGAATTATCTGCTTTACAGAAAGATGTATAGAGTATTAAACCTTTCTTCTCTAAATGAGACTGTATTCTCTCAAAATCCATGTACACGGAAAGAACAATGTAGCTGCTGTAGCTAAAACTTGGCATAATAGGGACAGCTAATATTTTCAGTTGTGATAGCTCAATATTTTGCTACGACAGCAAACCGTTTGCTGTCGCACCTAATACAATAGGCACAGTAGCAAAATATTGAGCTATCACAACTGAAATATTAGCTGTCCCTAGTTTGCTAAGTTTTAGCTACAGCAGCTACATTGTTTTTTCCGTGTAGTATTTAACATTTGTATTCTAATCATACACTGAATTATCTGCTTTACAGAAACATGTATCGAGTATTAAACGTTTCTTCTCTAAATCATACTAGTATGTAACATTTATATTCTAATCATACACTGAATTATCTGCTTTACAGAAACATGTATAGAGTATAAAACATTTTGTATCAAAATCATACTGTATTCTCTGCTTTACACCAAAATCCATCTAGTATCAAACATTTACCCTAGTAGCACAGTGCATTGGATAAACATTGGCCCAATATTTGGTTGTATTTGGCCAATGCACTGTGCTACTAGGGTATATTCTAATCATACACTGTATTCTCTGCTGTACAGAAAAGCATACTTGGCATTTCATTCGGTTGCTCGCTCGTCAAGGCTCCTTAACAGTCTATTCTTATATTTAACGATAATCTTGAATATCTCTCCATCTATATTTCTTTGCCAGTAAAAAGCTATACATTTCTTTCGTTTCATATCTCATTTATCCAAGTACACGAGCTTTTCTATCCTATATATACAATGTTGCTACGATACTATAGGCTTGTTTTCTGTTGCTACACTGGTCAACTAGTGCAATAAGTTTGAGTAGGACAAGTAGATTTTTCTCATTCTACCTTACTGCACTAGTTGACCAGTGCAGCAATAGAAAACAAGCCTTATGACTATAAGAATTTGTATTTAACGTCATAGGATCGACGGATCAATATTTACTTGCTAATAACGTTTCCAATATTTCAGACTACCAATCAGGAGAGTACAGGAGTACGGACCAAGAAGGAGGGAGAGAGAGAGAGAGCTGCCGAATAACGGACACGTACGAGGTATATTTTCATTTTTATTGTATCATGTGTCTCACTGTATAGTATGTATACAATTACAACATTCACTGTCTTCGTCTTACTGACGGATCCACTGGACCAAAATTGAGGTTGAACATGCACTTACAGTGGACGTTGTAGCTATACGCACGGCTACGTCGCATCTCGCCCAATTCCTGCAAAGGCACGCAACGATTAAACAACTCGTCGATCGAGTCAGCGGATGTCGTTATCCATAACAATTTCAACATTTACCTCGTGGTTGTAATAACGGAATCTATCCGTTATCTGCCTTCGCCTGTCCGGCGTGTACGCAGTTTTTAGCGTGAACTCTAGAACCTCGTGCAAAAAAGGTTCCGACACGTGGATCGCAAAATTGACCACGACCATACGGTTGTGGTCCACAAAGTTGCGGTCCCAAAACATAGTACGTATGAATTGGGGCCACGTCTTGGCGTCGCCAACCACGTCCTGGATCGACAGCCACGGGTTTTTATTTATTTGGTCGACGCTGTAGCACGCCATTTCAATCTGAAATAGATGACAACTTGTTGAATCGACGACACGTCAACGACCGTATCTGGCAATTGTAATAATACTATTTGGCAATTGTAATAATACAGTGCGAATAAAGGAGGTTTTCCTGTTGCCAGTGGTGTCGATTAATTCACCCTTCAATTTTAATATTTGCTGGCGGTTCAATATCATATTCTTTAATAATACTATTTATCGCGACCAATATTATCTCTCTTACCTCTACTCTCTCGGGGGTCTCTCGAACAATTGGATCGCTGTCACCTGACTCTGTGTCGTACTTAAGGCCAATGTCCACGATGCTAGAACTTGGACCAAGTTCTAGCATCGTGGACATTGGACTTTAGAACCGCGTACACACGGAGCGTGCGCACGTCGCCACCTATGCATGGTCGCGCTCGGTACGATTGGTTAATACTCGTAGATGCAGCCAATCGTGTAAAGATATCATTGACCGTGGCCAAAGTTTCAATCGCGGAACAAACTCTACTCGAAAATATAGTCAATTTTTATATTTCCATCCGTCTCCATCCTGTCGAGTGTGTTGTCTAAAGAGGTTAGTACGGCTCTGTGTCATGTGTCAAAAAAAGAGCTCGAGATCCGATCCGAATTATAACAACGGACTGCGAATATCGGCCGAGGAGTTGACAAAACAGCGAAACGGTCGCATTATAGCACATTAACACGCGATTGTACGCAAATATTTCTCGTCGCGGTATTTCGAGTAGCTACGTACGTCTTGTTATTCTCATAATAATTGAATTTCATTCTCCTTGTAATGTTTATTAAGCGATAGATGTATTAAATGTTTTACCGATATATTTTAGAGGAGCTGTAGACTATTACCGTCTATTTGTTTCTCTCAATTATATCACAGATACATCGATACATTATTAGGAGAATAACAAAAAGTACATACATGGCTACATTTCTTATGCTTTCTTCTCAATATGCATGTCGAGAAGACACATTTAATTTGTCTTGAGTCGTCTTTTAGATACGTGTGTCTGAAAGACGACTCATAGACACGCGTGCTGTATGGCTTTGCGGCATGTAAATCTATTGTAACCAGTATACCATTTTTATGTTGCAGGGTGTACCTAAACTGGCGATAAATATTTTAATGACAAGTACTTTGTAACATTTTGAGACGAAAATTCTAATACGAAAAAGTCGAGA